CACTGTTCTGATTGATTAGTTGCATTCTGCTATTCAAGTTACTGTTCAAGTTCTACTCCTGTATCTCTGAAAAACAAATGCAACTCATTCCTCCACTGAAAAGCAAAGTTAACTGCTCTTTTGGTTGTTTGAATACAGAGACTTAACATATATTTAGAGAAGGGTTTGCATCTAACTACATGGAAGACAGTGTCCACTTGAGAGTTGTTTTAAAAGTTTTTAAGGACCTTTTCAGCTTGAAAGTGATGTTTCTTAGATTTGCTAAAAAAAAAAGGTAGTACCTACCAGTTTCTCAAGGTACAATCACAAAAACAAATAAACTGAACTTTTATTTACTGTGTATTTATGGGTTTTTCTTTCTTTCTTTCTTTCTTTTTTTTTTGCAGTGCTAGGGATTGAACTCAGACCCAGGGCCTTGTGCTTGCTAGGCAAGCACATTACCACTGAGCTACATCCCCATCCCTTGTGTTTTCTTTGAGAGAGGGTCTCATTGTGTACCCCAGGCTGGCTTCAAATCACTATGTAGCCTATGCTAACCTCAGACTCACCATCCGCCTGCCTTAGGCTTGCACCACCACACCTGGATACCCCATTAGCATTTTTAAAAAATAACTTCCAAATTATGCCTCAATGATTAGAAATTTGTAGGCAGAAAAAAAAGTACTTGTTAATATTATCAAAAGTCGCTAAACTATTTAGGCCTAATCTTTGTTTTCTAGGAAACATAGTTTTCTTTAATTTGAGTTTCTTCCTTCCTTCCCTCAAAAGGAAAACATTAATTTTCAAATGAAAACTTAATGTATTGAAATAAAATGTATATCTTACCATAAAGTATGCAGGAGTATACACTTAATATATTATTTAGAAATTATTTGTTTATACTCATTCATATCAGACTAAACTAAAGTCGGGATGTTTTCCTTACATTAAGATATACTGCATTACTTATCCTTTCTATTGTATAAAATGTTTATGTGTTTTGTTGAATTTATAACGACATTGCTTGTTCTCTTTTATGCTTACATCAATGTGAGAATGGAATTTAACTTTCCCTGCCAATGTGATAAAGGAGATGATAAATATTGTTGTAAAATAAATTTACTTTATAGCAAAGATTAGGGATTAAAAAGCCATATACTTTTCCTAACAAGATGTGTCATGTCACGTTTCTGTTTAAATGCAAACAATAGTTACAAAGTACAGAATAGAATTTACCATAATCCAATATGTCTTCCTCATGAATTTTCTTAAACAATTTAAAGCAAGTTTTTTGAAGAGAAAGTATTTGACTGGTAGAGAGAAATGGAAATCTGAGCTTGTAAATATGGAAGGAGCTTGGCCCAGTGGCTTACACTGTAATCTTAGCTACTCAGGAAGAAGGAAGAGATCAAGAGGATCACTGTTCAAGACCATACAGCCAAAGTTAGACCCCCATCTCAACCTATAAAAATCTTGGCATGGTGGTGTGCACCTGTCATTCCAGCATAAATAGAAGGATTGTGTTAAGGTTGTCCTTAGTATAAAAGCAAGACCCTATTGAAAACATAAAGCAAAAAGTGGTTGCTTGCCTAGCAAGCAAAGGCCCTAAGTTCAAACCCCAGTCTTGCCAAAAAAAAAAAAGGGAAAGTACCATATTGGGAAACATGAATATGGATAAATACATGTGGCAGCAGACTTGCATCATCTGGAGTATGACTATTTCATAATGCTATGATATATTTACACTCTAAATTCCACTATTGGTTAGATTAAATTCCTATTTGTATTGTGTAATTGCTTCATCGGCCTCTCAATGAGGAAATAGTTGAAATACCTTGGCATTTTGCTATCATTACATTGCACTGTCTTTGTGTTCCTCTCACTTAAGAAGGCTGTGCATATCCTGCTAATGGGGAGGATTTTAACAGTTGTCTAGTCAGTACAGCAGATACTTCCCAAGTAGCAGAATTAGCTGATGACTTGTGGTATTCAAAGTGACAGCACTTGGAATAACAGAATGTCACAAATCAATTAGAACAGTGCTTGTTAAACTTTTAATATCCATAATGCTTATTCTAGTGCTGGGCTCTCCACTGCAATTTCTGATTCATCAGGTCTGGGTTGGAACTACACAGTTCACATGGCTAGAAATTTCAGGTGCTACATTCTGTTTCTATGAAACTGTTGCATACTTAATTTCAGTGCTGTAATGTTTAAAATGGCTTACACATCTGATTATGCATATAATACATACCACCTTACAGTTTTGAAGTACTTCAGATCTGCATCATATAGTCATCACAGTAGTCTTTATTTCAAGATGAGAAAACATTCAGTTAAACCCTGTGTGTGCAGTTTATTTTAGGTTTTTCATAGGTCTCATCTCTGTTTATTATCTCTATCCTTGACTGTCTTGTAATTGATTCCAGGCATTAGCCAGGTTCTCTACATGTTATTTTACCCTCAGTAGAATTTATCTCAAGAGATAGCCTTATCTTCATTTAAAGGTGAGAAAAGTAAAGGTGAAAGATGGTTAGCATTATTGTGAAGTCTGGGAAGCGGCCAATCATTGCCCACATGTGTACTGGGCTCATGCTACCTGGGTTTTTATCCACCCTCTACCACTTAAGGTTCTGTGACCTTGAAAAAGTTTCTTAACCTCCCTAAATCTCATTTCCTATTATATTGAAAGAACAACAATGCCAGTCTTGTATGATTATTATGGACATTAAGTAGGATGTATTGGAGGTGCTGGGCAAAGAGAGTGTATACTCAGTATCATCTATTATTACTGAATAATTAATTTAAAGTCACTCTGACAGTAGGAAGCTGTTCTTTTGACAGGACCCCATGTCACCTTCTTATTCTTCCATTGCTTTGTAATGAAGGTAAGCAATGTATACATTAAAGTGAGTAGTATTAATTAACACAGGGAGGAGTATAAAACCAAGAATTAGATGAAAAATTCACAGAAAGGTAAAAATTGTATAGTCTGGGTTGACAGGTCAGGGCAAAAAAAAAAAAAAAAAACTTTTTAGATTATGTGGGGAAGCGAGTGCACCCTTCCTGGACTCATCCTTGCACAATATTTACTTCAATTCTGTACTGATGACTAACATAAGAGTCAGCCAGAAATATCTGTTTATTTTTGGTAGATCCCGCCAGTGATCATCCACAAAATGTACTTCCAGCATTTAGAATTATAAACATTTAGGAAGAATTTGCTCCTGTTATTTTTTTTTTCCTCACCTTTAAGTTCATGAAATGCTTCATAAATCCTAGCCTGGAACTTAGTTGTTTTGTTTTGGGGGGGTTTTGGACCTTCTTTTCTAGTTATTTATTTTCATAGTTCATATATCTAACTTAATCACAGAGTTTATCTAGTTGACTTATACCCTTAATACTAGCCAAATAATATGTCAGATTAGTCTTAGGTAGTCTAATTGCTTACTCAACTTCTTGGTCAAGGAGCTACTTCTTAATGTTTATGTATTTTTCTCCTACCAGTGACTCTAATTTGTAACTCACATCAATTCCATTGTTTAAGGAAAGAGTGAAAGAGGCTGAATGTAGTGGAAATACTATATTTTCATGTATGAAAATGGAAAAATGAGACATGTTGAAACTGTTCCAGGAATGGCAGAAGGGGGGATAAAGGAGAATGATGGAGGTGGTAAATTCAACTATGATATATTTTAAGAACTTTTGTAAATGTCACAATGTACCCCCAGTACAACAATAACATAATAAAAAATAGTTTTATGAGATTCATCATGATAATTTAGGTATTTTAAATTTCACACTGTTATCTGTCCATTTTTAGACTTCTTTTGCTTTTTTTTATAAACAAAATGTTTTTGGTTTGGTTGCTTTTTTTTTTTTTTTTTTAGCAAGTCTTATTTGGTGTCATTCTTTAATTGTGCCTCATAGTGAAGCATTTGGAAAAGTAGCAGAGTGTGGTTAACTTTGGCTTTGAGAAGTTTTAGTACATACAAGCAAATTTGGCCATTAAAAAGCAAGCAATAGCAGTATAATGCACAGATCAGAAAGGAAGAAAAGGCCATTTTCTCTTTCAGCTTTTGGTGAGAAGCATTTAAGTATTTCCTTTGGTCTTGATTAACTATTAGATCAATTTACCTCACACTATTTTTTTGGCCTAAGGAAATATGTTCTCTGGCCTTTTGAAATTTTTATAGTCAGAGGCCAAGCCCTGGTCTCTTCTTTCAGAGAGATGTCTTTCAACTTCTGCAAAGGCAAGAACTTGGCATAAGATTCTGGTGTGACACATGTACTGATGATTTACCAGAAAAGCACTGCAAACATTGGAATGTTTTATGTACTGTTCAAACAGAGAAACCTGATTATTCGTAAGTCATGCTTTTCCCTGAGCCAGATTATTTTGGCACATAAAAATTTAATGAAATAAGTCTTAAGAGGACTGCCAAGCCAGTATTTAAATATCATAGGTGAAAAGGGGATCAGAAAAAATTGGGAAGGTATGAATGGGAAGTATTTTAAAGAACATACGTCATAACAAGGAAATCCTTAAGCTCTGGGAAACACTGCTAATTATTAAAGATAACATTTATTGAACTGTTGATTTGCTATGTATTTATATTCCCATTATTATTCACAACAACCCAGCAAGATGGGCTTTAAATAAAGCAATATGGGCTTTATTTTTTAAAGTCTACCACTTTCTGTAGTAGAAAACAAGCTTAAGGAATTTACACATTTAATAAATGACACAGCTAACATTTTTACCTCGTTCTATCAGACACAATACGCATATGCTTTCGAATGAGGTAATATTTGAAAAGGCTGGATAAAATGCTTAAGTAAATGGTAGCTGTAATTATTACTTCTGTTTAGTTAATGTTTCTCAGAAACTATAAATGCATATACACATACAGTATTTCAAATTGTCTCTTTGGTGTTCACAAGTTTTCTATGATAGCCTTTTAATATTGCTTATTTTATATTATACCTGCTATATCATTGTTTATTCCTTTTTTCCATAGTTGCATTAAAATCCTCCCCCACTGACAGAAATGGTGGTCAGGATAACTACAGATCACAATTCAGAGATGGCATGAACTTGCAAGAAGGAGAATTCTTATTACAGGTAAGTTTTAACTGTTCCCAGTTGGTATCTTGGGACACTTCTCTTTGAACTGCAATGAAATTGTGTGAACTGGATAATTAAAGGTCTAGTCATCACCCTCCGTGTTGTGTTTCTTCAAATAGGAAGGACTCTTTAGATTGATTTCACAGATTTTCATTTAAGGCATTAGATTATGAGTACTTTTTCCAGAATAGTAGCTTAACTAAAAAGTTAGTGCATATATTTCATAGTTAAAATTGTTTCTAAGCTGAATTTTATCTTTTTAAATATTTTTTTTTACTCCTTAATTGTTGTGCTGGGTGGGGGTACATTGTGGCATTTACAAAGGTTCTTAACAATGTATCAAATATATCATACTTGAACTCACACCCTCCACCATTCCCCTTTATCCCTGCCCCCCTTCATTTTAGCACCGGTGTGTGACTTGTTAACAACAGCTACAAGTCCCTTTTCTGTGCATTAGAGTGTGGAAAGTTTTTGATATGTTTGTGAAAGCATTTTAAATTATTTTTTAAAGCTCTGTTTTCTTTCTCTTAAAACTGTTACTATGCTTGTTTCTCATTTAGCATCTTCAGGGATTTATTTATTTTATTGAATAAGATAGAAATAAATGTGTGATGTGATATGTACTGTCACCATTATGTGAACTTTTTCACTGCTAGCTAGTGAACTGACTGGGAGAATTTAGTTTGCTCTTGTGACAAGTACCAGAAGCCTTGATAACTCCATTCATTCCTTCAGTGACTACTTGAGGGTAGCCTAATAATTCTTAATATTTTTATGTTCTATAGTTAGGTCCAAATTCCTGATAGAAAAAATGAACTGTGCTTCCATTAAGTTAAATAAACTGAATATATTCAAGCATGAGTCCTCCACTCACTGCCAGCTGATACCATTTAAAGCATGAAGACTCATTAGGTCACAGAAAAATGTTCTAATTGCAGCTTAATGTGATTATAAATAAATTTTTGGTGTATAGTAAGGTAATAACGAAGTCCTTTATTTCAAGTGAAAATGTGAACTGACATAATAGTTGGTAAGTTGGTTTAAAATATGGGACAGTGATTTTTGTTTTCTCCTAAAAGATTCAGACAAATTATATAATATATCTTATGTCAAGGACACAGAATAAGAATAATATTAATGCAAAACTAGAGTTTATATTTAATCTGGAAATTGGCAATCTTTAGGTAGCTCAAATAACACCCCCATTATGAATTATACTGAATACCATTTTTAGACTACCACAAGAAGCATCACATACTGTGTGCTTTTTATTTTATTTCTGACAATTAACATTTGTCCAAAGGGATATTTTATCCTAAATTATCCTTTTGTCTCTGGCATGTCTCAAGGAGTTTATTGGGATATTGTACTAAATTTGTTTCATATTTTAAAAAACTCTCCAAAATAATGTGGATGGGTCAACTAAATAGTGTCCTCTAGAAAAAAAGATGTTTTCAGAATGAAACAATACAGTCATGGATTTATATTGTTACTGCCAGCAATATTTGCGACTCAAATTTGGTTGTTTATTGCTAGCCATGTTGTGGGGTGTGGAATTTTTTATCCTGGGAATGTTACCAGTACTATGTACAATCACTGTAATAAGTACTGCAGACTCCAGTTGTAGTTCAAGAGTGAGAGCCACAGTTTGCAATCAATAACGTATAAAGGCAGTATATCATGATAACTAAGTAGATAGGCTATAGAGCCACACTGAGCCTGGATCGGTGATTTTTCTTAAGACTATGTGCCCAAGTTACTTTACAGTTGTTTACCTCAGTTTCCTCATTTATAAAACTAGAATATAGTATCTACTTCATTGAGTTGGTTTGGGAGAATTAATCCACTTTAATACATAGAAATGTTTAGAAAAAGACAGCTAAATAATAAGTGCTATCAAGTTTTCAAAAGTATGATACAGAGCAACGATCTTGAAGGTGAAAGGATCAAAGTAAAAAGAGAGTGGCCATATTTCATTTACCTCATCAGACAATGAAGGTATGCACCAAACTGGGCAAGCGTCATTAGTACTGGGATGATGCTTATTAGTTCTTAAATCCCAGGACTTAACATACATCCTCTTTAAGGCATGGAATAAACTAATTATCATTTATATAGCTCTTTATAGTTCTCAGTGCATGATTGTGAAAAACAGTCTTTGTTCTTTTCTACAGCCTTAGTATCTATCCAATAAAATGGCACTTTTTGAAATGACGACATTAAAGCTTGAACGGGTTAAACACTTAACCAAAGCCACATAATCATAAGACACAGCTGTAGGAGTCCAGTCCTAATTTGCCTGACTCCACACTATATGGTTTTTATCCTAAACCATACCATATCTACACTTAGAAGGGTTAAACCATGATCACAAAGCAAATTGAGCTCAAGCAGAAAATAGTGAAGGCTTTTCGAGTTAAAATATATAATGAACACTTAAATTGATCTCAGATATTTTGTTGTCCAAGAAGAGAATAAAGGTAATACTGAATTTAAATACCACTAGAACAACAGAGAGAATAACTTCCAAACTAAAAGAAGATAAGAATATGGAATAATAAAAAGTAATTGGCCAAAGGCAGGCAAGAAGAGAAAAGGCATGGTACAGATGAAACAGATAGAAACAGTGCATACAAAATGATTGCTCTAAACACAGATATATTTGTAATTGCAGTAAATGTTAATGAAAAAATTTATTTGCTGCATACTTTTATATTTGTATTATATTTGAATTATATATATTATGTTTTATGTGTATTCTTTTCCAATAAAAATCTTCTTATGTTTTATAATTCTTTGAAATGTCTTTGTATGAAAAAATCATTTCTCCTATCTCTTTTTAAGTGTCTCATCAATCTTCTGCTTCCTCTAAAAAAAGCAGTGTGATAGATTACAGTGAGTGATTTCTATACAATTTATATTTTTAAAAAGTGCAGTGTGTTTAAAAGAGGAAATCTGAAGCATAAAAGAAGGAGGAAACCAACATTCTATTAACGTTACTGTGGTTGAGCTTTAAACATACCTGTAAGTTCTTCCTCAGACAAGTCAGAGGTATGAATAAAATTCCCTTCACTCTGCAGGTGTGTGGTATCTCTGTTTGTGAGGTATAATTATTTCAGTTATTTCAAAGAGATTTTTTGTAGAGAAACGTAATAGTCTTTACTTTTCAGTATTTTTGAGTAGCAATTTTAATTTCCATTACTGATTTTATAACTTTTCTCCTTGTAGGCACTGAATGGCTTTGTATTGGTTGTCACTACAGATGCTTTGGTCTTTTATGTTTCCTCTACTATACAAGATTACCTGGGGTTTCAGCAAGTAAATATATTTTTATATTATTTATAATATTTTCTTTAGAAAGTGAGCTTTCTATTTCTTACATATTTTATAGTTTAAGAACAAAGTTAACTGTGTATGTAAAGTATCTATTAAAATATATGTGCAGTAAGAATAATGATACATTTTTAGCTAATTTTCTAGAAGTACTAGTTTATAGCACTGATTTCTTTCAATGTTTATATGATTCATGGTTATTGTGTTTATTCTTGTACTTACCAATAATTTCATATATAAGAAACTTTCAGGGCACTGGGGAAATACAGTTCAGTGGTACAGCACTTGACAAGGTTTGATCCTCACACTGAGAAAGAAAGAAAAAATTTTCAGGCAGTTAGAGTTTAGGAGAGCAGACAGAAAACATTTGCCTTCAAATAACATATGGATCGCAGAGGACATGCAACTGTGAAATGAATGAAGTGCTGTGAAAAGGCATAAGTAAAATACTATGGTTTATTAATTCTCATTTATGTGGATTATGGAAAATACCCTAAAGACGATGGATTGAGATTGAGCCAAAAGCATGTGCAGTGTTCACACAGGGGACACAGGAACAAAGGGGGAAGATATAAGTACTGAAAACAGTAGACAAAAATCCTTGAAGGAAGTGAGTTATGTATTTAAATAGCTTTGAGTGGATGGTGAATAAATGGAGCTGTAAAGTGTTTGGCATGTTTGGGGAACAAGAACATCTGATACAGTTTGAGAACAGATTGTAAGTACACATGAATGCTAAGTATTCTTGCATATCTGATTCACTTGATTCTTATATATCTGAAACACTTGATAAAATGTTTGGACTTCATTCCCAGATATCTTAATCCAATAGGTTTTAATGTGGCCCATTCTAACAATCTTACAGATAGAATAAGTCTTCTGTCTAACACTGTTGTGTAGACTTTAGTTTTGACTACATTGTACACACAATGACAACTAGTGAAGGCTTTTGTTAAAGAGAAAGTAAAGCACATGCCTCAGCGTATGCTTCAGCTGGCTATCATATAAGAGATGACATAGAAATGATTTATTTCTAGAAGACTCAGTTCCCAGGGAAATTTAAGATAGATGACTAAAATAATGGAATTTGGCTACTGCCTGAAAGCCTAAATTTTGGTTTTCTTTGATTTTAATAAAACTATATTAATGTCCATAGAAAAATCTGTTTGAAATGTAATGTGTTGCATAACTATCTTAATCATAATTTGATTCTGTAATTTGTAAAATGTAAGAGGTAGCCACATTCCAATTTTTTTTTCTCACACATACACACAAACTGGGTATTCTTTAAAAAAAAACATTCATATATGACATGGGTGGCAGATTAAGTCACAATTTTTGAAACTGCAAATTGCAACCCATCATTGGGTAATAATGCAGATGATTGAGTGGTTCTCCGTCAAACTTTCTTTTTAGTGGCTTAGGATCAAATGATATGAAATAAAATAGAATGCACAATATCATCGCTCATAAAAGTGTTTCATGAAATTATTTCTACATGTGTATGAGCATGTGACAGAAAATGTGTTTCACATCATGAGTTGCAGTAAGAAAAAAAGATAGGAAAACTCTAGCTTAAAGTGTGAGGGCTCAGCACTGCAGTAAATGTTGAGAGGCAGGAGGAGGGAGGGATTCTGTTATGGTAAAAGCACAATCCTTTACTTTTATGGAGTCTACTTGCAGGGAAAATTTAATACAATGGAAACTTATGGACCATTGAAGGAATAAATATGTAAGATTACAGGAATCAAAGAGATATTCATGGAGAGATTCACAGAAGATGAAGGATTTAAAGGCTCAGTAAATGGATAAGTAACATACACTTATTATAATATGGTGCACTTAAGGACTGGGGAAGTGATGTATTTGAGGCAGAGCATTCATGTTGGGATGCGGTGGCAAATAACTATGAGCTTATTAGTTATGATGCTAGTCTCTTTCTGGCTTTTCATGTTTTGGATGACTGAGGAGCTTTGACAATCATTCAGTTTGCATTCATCATTACTAACACCTATCCATACTAATCTAGATAGGTTTAAAATTGCTTTACTGAACCAAATAATGTCTTAATAAGTACTTTTGTTTTGTTCCCTTGTGTCATTTTTCTTTAGTCTGATGTCATACATCAGAGTGTGTATGAACTCATCCATACTGAAGACCGAGCTGAATTTCAGCGACAGCTACACTGGGCATTAAAGCCTCCCCAGCCTATAGACTCTGGACAAGGAATGGATGGTAAGAATGTTATCTGAAAGATAGTGTTTGTGGGTTTTCCAACATGCTTCTATGAAAGGAGACTGGGAACCTATAGTGCACATAACTCCATGCTTTTGGTGGGGAGAGAGTTAGAAAGATGTAGGTCTACAGCAATAGACGTTCAGGTAACAGAACCTGATGACCTAAAGAACATTTGGCAGATGAGAGCCATCGTGGAGTTTCAGACAGGAAGAATATGGTCATCCTCAGTAAAATTTTATAAAAATAACTGTCCCGTCATAAAAGGTGGGAGGAATGTACAAAGTTGAAAATGGAGTGCATGTAAATTTTCCTGATTAAAATGCACCAACTAAAAAGTAAACTAGTATATGCAAGTATAAAAAAGTTTTTCTTGATGTAAGCAGTGTTTTCATAAATCTGTGGAAGTGTTTGAAAACAAAAAAGATGTTAGAAAATAGAAAAATTATTGACAATGACAGCTCAATAAAAACAAACAAAAATTCAGTAGAGTTCTGAAACTCTACTGTGTGACAAAAGTATTATTACTCAGTAAGTTTGGGGGACCAGGTATGGTGGTACACATCTGTAATCCCTGGTACTCAGAATATGGAGGTAAGGAGAATTGTGGTCTGAGGCCAGCCTGGGCAAAGTTAGTGCAAGACCCTCTTCTGAAAAAAATAAAAGTAAAAGAATACTTGCCTAGCAAGCACAAGGACCTGAGTTCAATCCTCAGGACCCAAAAAAAGAAATTAAGTTTTTAGTTATTTGAATTATTTTGTAAGGTGATTTTTTAAAATTCAGAATGCATAGTCCTTTTATAGAAATTAACACAAATTTTAACAATTCAAATGTTTTACAACAAAGTAGAAAGTAGAATTGTGTTGCTTTTATTTCTACAGAAGCCCATGGCCTTTCACAGCCAGGAGTCTATTACAGCTCAGACCAGCTTCCTCCAGAAAATTCTTCTTTTATGGAGCGGTGCTTCATATGCCGGCTAAGGTGTCTGCTGGATAACTCATCTGGTTTTCTGGTAAGGTGCAAAATCTTATGATACTGGCTTTTGCTATTAAGGCATAGAAAACCAATAGTCTTCAATTACATTTGAGTTCAGTTTTTAAAGTCTACCTAATGAGTAAAGGAAAGTAACTTTTAAAAATCATTGTTTCAGATTTTGAATATCTTCCATAGCTCAGAAAGCCCTACTTTTAGGATGTAGTACTAGAAATTGAGTGAAATAATGTGGAACCTTACATTTTGACTATTTTTAAGACTTCTTAGGTCTAGGATAGAGGAATTCCTAGCCCTTCTTTATTAGGAGTCTTACTACCTTGGAGTTTAATGCCTGCTACACAGGAAATTTCTGGGCATTATCCATGTCTGGAACAACTGTGTATATTCATGATTACAAGATCACCATGTGACATGAGATGCTATTTCTCCATGCCCAGTCTGCATAGTACACCTGGTAGAGAGGAGCTTAGCATGACACTCAAAATGAAAGTGGTTTCTTCCCTTAATCGCACACTCCACCAGCCACAAAAGAAGAGAATGCAAAGCATGTTGCATATTCTTTTTGGGAATTACCAGGAATTTGAAGCAGATAATCAAATCTTAAACATTACTAAGCAATGATTTTTGTTTATTTCCTTTTCTTTGTTTGCTAGTACTGAGGTTTTGAACTCAGAGCCTCACACTTGCTAGGCAGGTGCTCTGCTGCTTGAGCCATACCCCTTTGTGCTTTATTTATTTTTTCAAATAGGGTCTCATGTTCCTTATCTAGACCATGATCCTCCTACCTATGGCCTCCTGCACAGCTGGAATGACAGACATGTGCCACCATGTCTAGATTATTGATAGAGATGGGATCTCACTAACTTTTTGCCCAGCCTGGCCTGAAACCGTCATCCTCCCAATCTCTCTCAAATAGCTGGAATTACAGATGTGAGCCACATCTCCTGGTTTTGTGTGCATGTTTTTGAAGATAGTTTTTCTGACCTGGAATTAGAGTTATACTTTGAGAGCTTTCCTAGTACTAGTGCTCAAGATTAATTAGTATGTGCTTCTGAGGTGGAATTTCTTTGTGCAAAGGGTCTTTTCTACCTTGTGCTCTTATTAGATTGATGTCAGAATCATCTCAGGCTGATTGATCAACTAAGTCAATCGAGTTCATGTTTAAATTGTCTGTTTCTTGTCTTTTAAAATTACTTATTTTTATTCTAATAGAGCTCTGCATTCTTTATATAATTTCAAAATGGCTCATTTTAGTGTTTCAATAAAATTGCCTTTGTCTACAGGAAAGATTCCCATGAGTTATAAAATATAACTCATGCATGCTTAAAATTACTGTGTACTTGATGACTCTGCCACTATTCAGTCCCTCAGGAAATACATTTCAAGTGCCTGTATGCAGGGAGCTATGATAGGTGAAAACAACAGGGCAAATGCACGCTCAAAAATGATCTTTCTGTGGTGAGCTGTAGAAGCAAGAAGTAGTCCTCGTACCACTTTCTTTAGAATATTCCTCACTCTTCCTTTTGGAATAGTTTTAATGTGCTTCCTGTGAGAGAGCAGTGAAAAAAACCTGCCGTTCTCAGCCTCAGGAACTTTCCTACAGTATCAAGAACCTGGAAATCGCCATCATGGAAACATTGAAAATGGAACTATCTTATACTGTCAATTTTATTTACTTTATTTTACTTAAAATTTTATTAGCATAAATTGTAAAAAGGGGTTTCATGATGGTATTTACATATATGCATATAATGTACTTTGATCAAATTCACCCTATCTGTATTACGCTTGCTTAATTACCTTCTTCCTCATTACCTTCTTCCTCCCCCCATACTTTCAATTTTAATAAATGGTTTTTGGCTTTTAAGGCAATGAATTTCCAAGGAAGGTTAAAGTATCTTCATGGCCAGAACAAGAAAGCAAAAGATGGATCCATACTCCCTCCTCAGCTGGCTTTGTTTGCAATTGCAACTCCACTTCAACCACCATCCATACTTGAAATTCGTACCAAGAATTTCATCTTTAGAACCAAACACAAACTAGACTTTACACCTACTGGTTGTGATGCCAAGTAAGTGAAACTTTTTCTCTCTTATTTCATCAGATGTATAGTTTGCTTTAATAAGTCTCTATTATATGAAACATACAGTGTAGGTTCTAATTTTTATTGTTATATTAGCTATTACTGTTTCATATTTCTTCAGTATATCCTATTAAAGTGAAATAATTTCATGAGGTACACAAATCATCCTCATATTTTATAATTTTTTACAATACTTGTAAGATTCATTCTTCCAATGACGTTTGCTATTGGTTTGTTTTATATTTTGTACAAATGTTACTTAATTTTTATCTCTAGAAGTTAGTAACTTTCAAAATTTATGCAGTGCAGTGATAGCAAGAACTCCTGTATCACATTAAAACCTGTCAGAGCTTTTCTCCTTTCCGATCTGAGAATGCTCATTGCTCAATGAGGTAACTTGACAAACCCTGTCCCCTAAAATATAGTAAGCATTCTAGATTTTTAGGAAACACTATTTTACCTTTGTGATCTTCTGCATTGGATTCATTGTTAGTCATGCTAATTTTCATGGTTTTATACATGAGAAGAAAACAAGCTAAAAGTTAAATTTATAGCCATAAGCAAGAGAGAGCACTTTATATAGATGTGGTTAATTTTTCTGTCTACTAATGTGAAATTCTGAGTGTCGAGTAAAAAATATTGCAGAAAATAGCATATAAGAAATTAGTTTATCTTGGATGTTTATGTTAAATTTTAATTCACTCTCTTACCTTCTTTTAAAAACAGAGGTCAGATAGTTTTAGGATACACTGAAGCAGAGCTGTGCACCAGAGGATCAGGATATCAGTTTGTCCATGCTGCCGACATGCTGCACTGTGCTGAACTCCACATCCGGAGTAAGTTCTAATTCCTTAGGAACATAACCGAAAAAAAGCATATTTCTACTATGTATTTCAGGTTATTGCATAAGGTAATGTGTTTAAGGAACTATTCAGATTAATTCCTACTTAGTAGCATACATTTTCATTGATCATAGTTGCAAATATAATGGGTTTTTTTTTTTTTTGGCAGTACTGGGGTTTGAGCTCAGGGTCTCATGCTTGCTAAGCAGGAGCTTTACTGAGCCACTCCACGAACCCAGGATTACACTTTTTAATTCATTAATTCCTCCATAGCTGCTACACAGGAACATAGTAGTTTAATTACTATGAAAATGGCCAGTTTGACCTAAAAAGTATTGTTCAGGAATTTTTTAATGGCCTCATTATTAATTTATAATAACTATAATATTAAATAATATTTATAAATAATATTAATAAATACCTTTAACATAAGTTTAAATTGTGAAATATTTAGCGATAGTAAAATATCCCCTATTTAAAATGAAAATTACTTTTGTCCTTATTTTCCCCCAGATTAAACTCTTTCTACTTCATGTGTTACCAAAATCATTTGACTAGTCTTTAATCTTCCTTTAACATTTTTAATGTTTAGTCTGAAATCGGAAAATCCATCTCTGAAGAGCTGTTTCTGTGCCTTTCAATATGCTGTCTTTAAAAGTTGTCAAGATATTTAATTGGAAATAAGTGAAGTACATCCAGAAATATGAGAGGGGCAGTTTCAAAGGCTTTCATTAATCTTACTGCTTTGGGATTTGATAACTTAATTTCTGAATTGTATTTTAGTGATTAAGACTGGAGAAAGCGGCATGACAGTTTTCAGGCTCCTTGCGAAACACAATCGTTGGACGTGGGTCCAGTCTAATGCACGCTTAGTTTATAAAAATGGAAGACCGGATTATATCATTGCGACTCAGAGACCTCTAACGTAAGCACAAAGTCTTAGAATATGTCCTGTTCTTGTTTTTTGTAAGTCCTCTTACATGAAAATTTAAACATAACTCTAAGGCAATTGAACCTGGAAATAAAAAATTGAAGTTAAAATAATATGTATAGGAAAGATGCCACAGGTGAGAGCCTCCTCTGCAAAATTTATTGAACAGCTAAATATGTAGAGCTACAGAGAGAAAATAATCAACGAAAACTCAGTTTTACCCTCCAGATTAAGGAAAAAATGAAAAGCTAGTACCATCTTTAAAGCAAAAGGAATACATAACAATGCCTTGATTAGAATGTGTTCTCTAAACACAACAGTGATCGATAAGAGTTTCTTACCTATCCTGAAAAGGAATCCCTTTGTCAAATTGTGGGCTCTGGGGAGGATCATGATTGACTTTTTTCCTTTATGGGTATCAAATTGACCAATAATGCTTACAGAAAACATGATTTATTGAAAGTCTTTCTTTTCTGCACTGCACTGTGTGTTGATAGAGGGTTTTGTTTGAGGTTCTGTTTTTAAGCCCTGTTGATCTAGTTCCCTTGCTCTAATTGTCCCTACCTTTATCACAAGTTTTGATATCTGAGTGCATGTCTTCATTTTGTTTTTTTTGTTGTTGTTGTTCTTCAAGAGTGCCTCAGTCTTCTTTACTTGTCACTTCCCACCAAAAAAACTGTTGAATGGGTTTACATTGAAAATGTAGACCATTGGGGAATTAGTATCTTTACAGTACTGAGTCTTCCAACCCATGAACACAATGAGTGTGTGAACATACCTACACATATTACATGGGTGCATATGTACCATTATGGATTTTTGCCTTCTCCCTTGATCAGTATTGCTAGAAGACTTATCAATTTTATTATTCTTTTCCAGGCTTCAACTTTTGGTTTTTGGATTTTTTGTTGTGCATTTGTTTTTCATATATGCCTTCTCATTATTATTTCCTTCTTTTATTTGTATATAACTTACTATTTTTCAACTTTTTAAAAAATATATATTTAAATAAACATAGATATCAATTTCCCCTTGTACAATTTTTAGCTACAACCCTCATACTTGATATCTTAATTTTATTATTCAATTGGAAATATTTTTGCTAATTTTCATTTATTTTTGTTCATGATTGTTTAGAAATAGTGTTAATACTTTTTGATGTTAGGATATTTTCCTAGTTATAAGTTGAGAATTAACTTTTAGCTTAATTCCATTATAGTCAGAGACCATTTCCTAAAAGGATTTCAGTCCTTTGAAATGTGCGATGACTTATATTATGAGCTAGTATATGGCCAGTTTTAGTATAGCAGCTCAGGGCTCTTGTAAATGTGTTCTCTTGGTTAGTAATACGCTGATCTTCTTTTGGCAATGCTGGTGTTTGAACTCAGGACTTTGCTAGACAGGTGCTCTACTGCTTTAATCCATATCTCCAGCTATTTTTGCTCTGGTTATTTGAGATAGGGTCTTTCTTTTTGCCCAGGCCTGCCTGGACTGCAGTCCTATTGAAAACTTCCTGCTATCTCTGGGATGGCAGGCAGGTACCACCATCCAGCTTTTTCCATTGAGATGAGGTCTCACAAACTTTTTTGCCTAATCTGGCTTAGAACCACTATCCCCCATTTGTTTTCTTATTTAGAGAACACACAAATTAATTTTTTGATGCCTAAGCATGGAATTAACTTCTGTACTAAGTTTTAGGGAAAAATTCTCAGTCATTTAAATATATTTGTCTAAGAGACAAGTTTTTGGCACTAGTTATGAGAGTAATTAAATATAAAGCCCATGTTCTTATATCAAACTCAGTTTTAGTATATTTTACTTTTTTCTCTTTTCTAAAATACTTTGTATAAAATGCTCATCATATAATGCTTCCTAATACATAGACTTTCTCATACACAATTTTAGAGACGAAGAAGGAAGAGACCACTTACAGAAACGAAGTATGACTCTGCCTTTTATGTTTACCACTGGAGAAGCTGTGCTGTACGAGATAGCCAGCCCTTTTCCTCCTGTTTTGGACCCCTTACCAGTAAGGACTAAGAGCAGCACTGGTGGAAAAGACTGTGCTACCAAATCGACTCCAAGTACTGATTCTCCTCACCCCACTTCCCTCCTGAGTTCCATGATGCAACAAGATGAGTCCATTTATCTCTATCCCGCATCAGTTGCTGCACCTTTAGAAAGAAAAATGTTTAGTGAATCTATAAGTGAATGCAGTAATTGGCAAAACAGTATTGCACCATTGGGAAATGATAATATCCTGAAGCATGAGCAAATTGGACAGCCTCAGGAAATAAACTCAGCACTCTCTGGAAGTCACACAGGGCTCTTTCCAGATAATAAAAATAGTGAATTATACAGCATTATGAAAAACCTAGGCATTGATTTTGAGGATATCAAACGCATGCAGAATGAGGAATTTTTCAGAAGTGACTTTTCTGGTGAAGTTGACTTCAGAGACATTGACATAACGGATGAAATCCTGACATATGTCCAGGATTCCTTAAATAAGTCTACCTTCCTGAATTCAGCTTACCAAGAGCAACAGCCTATGGCTCTGAGCTCAAGTTGTATGCTACAGGAGCCCCTGCAGTTAGAGCAGCAGCAGCTGCAGCACCAGCAAAAGCAGGTAGTACTGGAGCCGCAGCAACAACTGTGCCAGAAGATGAAGCATATGCAAGTTAACAGCATGTTTGCAAATTGGAACTCGAGCCAGTCTGTGCCTTTCAGTTGTCCTCAGCAAGACTTACAGCAGTATCATGTCTTTCCAGACTTACATGGGACTAATCAAGAGTTTCCCTACAAAGCTGAGGTGGACACTATGCCTTACACACAGAACTTCGTTCCCTGTGATCAGTCTGTATTACCACAACCTTCCAAATGTACACAGTTGGACTTTCCTGTGGGGAATTTTGAACCATCCCTATACCCTACCACTTCTAATTTAGAAGATTTTGTCACTTGTTTACAAGTTCCTGAAAGCCAAAAGCATGTAATAAATCCTCAGTCAACCATGGTAACTCCACAGGCGTGCTATGCTGGGGCCATGTCAATGTATCAATGTCAGCCAGAGCCTCAGCACACCCTTGTGGGTCAGATGCCCTGCAATCCAACAATTCCAGGCCCACAGGCGTTTTTAAACAAGGTAAGGGTTTTACAGAGCAGAAGAAACCCTTTCTGTAATTCTTCTTAACTTATAAATAAATAGATACAATGTTTATGTCAGTGGCTCATTTTAATCAATTATCTACAGTGTTTATGGAGACAGAATCTCCAGTTATATCTGTGACTATATTTATAAACCTCTGATCTCCTTGAAGGAGAAGGAAATCAGGGGCCAAAGAAGTATGAATATATAAGGTGACCTGAATTGCCAAGTGGAATTAGTTGTATAAATATCATGTTTAGACTAGAGAAATTGATTTATTTCTTAATTTTTAAAAAATTACATTTTTTTTTTAAAGGGCAGAACAGGTTCTGCCTGGAAGCAAGGGGGGTGGGAGGGTACAGGCTGGGGGCAGGGGGAGAAATGACCCAAACAATGTATGCACATGTGAATAATGAATTAAAAAAAAAAGATTGAATAGAAAAAAAATTTTCATACGGAAAAAAAAAATTACGTCTTTTTAAAAATCCAAGCTTTAAGAATAGATCTGAATTTTTAGAAATACTTTCTTCAAAGTTCAGGTTTGGTTTTTTTTTTTTTTTCCCACATGTGCTTGAAACCTCACTTGGAATCAAGCAGTAGGCTGCTCAGCGTTCTCTGTTGTCCCCCCCATGTTATCTGCTCAAACTTCACTTTGTACTTTAAGGTGGTGTTTTGTTGGTTTTTTTTTTTTTCTTAATTCTTAAAAAAGTAACTCATCTGGTTTTCTGTCATGGGAATCAAGCTTGATGTTGTAGTTTTATTGTTTAAATGTGTCATCAGGACCCTTCTAGCAACAAGTACACTTTAAAATGACTTAATGATAACTGCAGCCCTGTATGGCCACCCAGGAATATATTGTTTTTGTACTAATGCCTTTCTGTTGGAAAATATTTAATTCATTTGAAAATATATTTAAGATTAGTCTTGAAGAATATTTTGACTAAAATTAAATTCATTGATCTCTTTTTGCTGTGTATTTGAATATAATTTAAAATGGTGATTTGAATCTTTATCCATAATTGTTTCTTCTGGCTTTTTCATAGGTTTGGTTTGTCTGATTATATATAAACTTTTTAAGATATAAGAGATATTTCTGATATCCTTCAATTGTATTAAATTTTAATATTCAGGATGAGGAAAATGTGATATATATATCTATATCTATATAGATATAGATATAGATAGTGGAATATTATTCAGCCATAAAATGATGAAATCCTATCATTTGTGGCAGCATGGATGATACTGGGGAACATTATGTTAAGTGAAATAAACCAGGCATAGAGAGACAAATACTGCATGATCTCACTCAGATGTAGAAGAAACTTAAAAGTTGATTTCATAGAAGTAGAGAGTAGAATAGGGGTTACCAGAGGCTGGGAAGAAGGACAGTTATTGGTACAATAAGCAGACAACAGGATTAAATTGTTTTTCTATTGCATAGTAGAATGACTGTAGCTAGAAGAGAGGATTTTAATATTCTCAACATGAAGGAATGTTAAATGTCTGAGGTGATGGATATACTAATTGTCCTGATGTGATCATTACAGATTATAGAGATGTATCAAAATATCACATTGTAACCCATAAATATGAACAATTATATCAATTAAAAATAACAAACTTTAAAAATATTCAGTTGCAGTCTGTCTTAGCACTTTGCTGTTGATATAAGCCTATTTCACCATTAGGTAAAATAAAATTGCACAGAAGTTAATTGTGTAAAATTGCATTTTAAATAGGGGTTGGTATCAGTACCTTGGGTTCTTTGCAGCAAACCCCCCAATTTCATACTGCGTCTGTGTGGAAAATAAGGCAATAATTCTGTAAACCTACATGTTCCCTTAGCATTGCTCCTAGTTACATATGGCTGTTGAGCACTTGAAATGTAGCTAGTCCAAATTGAGATGTGTTCTCTAAGTGTTACATATTTACTGATTTTAAGACTTAGCTTATAACAAATCTCAACTTTATTTAAAAAAATTGGTTTCATGTTGAAATAACAGTTTTTCTCTTACTAGGTTAAATAAAATTTATTATTAGAATTTATTCAGCCTGTTTCTTTTTTACTTTTCCTTAATGTAGGTACTAGAAAAGTTAAAATCATGAGTGTGGCTCACATATTTCTGTTGGACAGCACTGCTCTATAGAATATTTTTAAAGAGAATAAAGCATTGTGTTGTGAGTGATGAGAAAAATTCACTTAAAGCCCAGCATCATCTGGGCAGATAATACTTTTTTCCATTTGGAGAACAGAGTTGCTACTCATAGAAGATAGATTTGATTGTTACTGTACGTCGGATATATGTTTTGAACAATCTTCAGAGTAATCATTGTTTTGGTTACTAATGCCTAATATTACATGGGCTTTACAAAAGTAGATTTCATTTGAAGCAACTAAAGGCATGATTTTAATCTGTATGAAAGTTTCCACAACTTTCACTAACTATATACTATAGTGTAAAGGTTAAAATGCTACAGAACTATGTACCTCTGTGTCCTCTTTTTTTTTTAAATAGTCATCCTGGAAACCAGAAGACAAGAAAGAACATTTTTGCTTAGTGATTTGAATCTATAATTGGGTCAGTACTTTTAGTGGCATTCGTTAATTAAAAGTATTTTATAGATAAGAAATTGGTTAAAGAAATACTAATACTTATTTTGTAATATTTTAGGAATATCAAGAAATATTTAGAAAATCAAAATTGGCCATTTTTGGTAAGGTCTAGATAATCAGGAATCCAGTGCACTAATCCAGTGCAGTAATTGAATATAATCAATTAGTTGATACCAGGTAGCAGTGATACCCTATACCAAATACCTGACTGAAATGAAGTCAAAGCAAAGAATATTTAACAAGATTCAGGACTGGTCCTCTTTGTGCCATCAGTTCCCATTTGACCCAAAGGCAATTGGAGTGAGACAGTTGTATAAGATGTGCCATCTTCAAAACGTCTTGTCAAATTAACGGAAAAGCAAAAAGTTATAAATGTAACTAATGCATGATAGGTTCTCAGTATGTCTTCACCAAGTGAAAGATTTAAAAGATTTAAAATTCAGTAACAGAAAAGGAATTTGAGGTCTAACACCCTGCAAGAATCACATTTTAAAAATATATTAATATGTCATTTTAAGACATTTGGAAGATCTATCCTTTTAATAAGTTGCTTTACTATTTTTGTTTTCAGTTTCAGAACGGAGGAGGTTTAAGTGAAACATATCCTGCTGAATTAAACAACGTAACTAACACTCAGCCCGCCACACATCTTCAGCCACTTCATCATCCATCAGAAGCCAGACCTTTCCCTGATCTGACACCCAGCAGGTTTCTATGATTCCAAGCCCAGTTTGCACCTTGATTTTTGGATCAAATCAGCATGTGGAGGATCACAAACTAATAAAACTGTCGTCGGGCATCCGCACTGTTACTACAAACCAGATTTTAATCTTTGTTTTTGAAAAGGAGTTTAGAATATAATACCCGTGTATAGTGGTCATTAAAACAAAGTGTGCTGCCAGAGTAGTGAGGTGTCATCTGCATTTACATCATTCTGAGACTGCAGAACACACGAAGGTCATCCAGGAGAACTTCATAACTCAGAGAACTTTATGTGAACTATTTCTGTTAGAAATAAAAGTGAAAAAAGTTTTGATTCCACGAATTCCTCACTAGTGTACCAAATACGAAGTTATAAAACTAACCTATTTATCTCAGATGTTAGAGTAAATGGTTTGGTGCTGTTATAAAAAGGTAATCTCAATGCTTTTCTCCTGCACTGTAAATCTAAGTGCCTCACATTTTTTTCTACCTATAGCACTGTAGGATGTATATTTTATATAAAATATTCTCTTCCTTTTTTTAAATTAAAAACATTCCTTTGAGCACAAGTATTATTTGTATTTCCTAGATCCAATTATTTTTATTAATCCAGGCATGTTTTAACTGCACTACTCACCCACTTTCTTCAGGTAAAGGGCAAATAATGATTGAAAAGATATTTATTATGTGATATAGTTGCTTCTAGACTTTAAATGTTGCTCTGTGCCTTATGTTGAAGAATTTGAAAGGAAAATGTCTTTCCAAATTATTTCTTAATTATGTCATAGATATTTGACAGTGGCACTTAAATTTGAAGTGTTTTCAGAAGAAAGACAAACCACTGTTAACATTTACTGAACTCTCCATAGTGATTAGTGGAAAGTCTCCTGTTATATGCAACCATGTTTCTTAAATTGCAATGAAGAAAGAAGTGGCTTTATGTCTAGCATTTTAAACTTAGCAAAGCACTCATATTTCAATGTGTATAAATTGTCTTCAAAAACTGTCTTGGATCTCTAATCCTTTATGATATACTGACTTTATAAATTTCACCTTTTAAAACAGTGGAAACTTTTTCTCACATTTGAGGAGTGTTAAGATTAAAGATAGCAGTGTTTGGTACAAAAGTATTATAATGAATGGTGCATTGTATAGCTACAATGAACAAAATTATTTGTAAAATATTTTTAATCCTTCATTTAAAAATGTTCATACTTTATATATGGTCATAATTAATTTGAGTTTTATGTATTTTATCCGTGTTTCTTCTTAAGAAATCAGTTAATGAATTGAACTGCTTTTAAACTGATACTAAAAAAAGAAAACTACACAATTTGTTTACCTTGATACATTAAGTTGTTTTTATGATGTAGCAACCTTTATTGTCAATAAGGCAAGTTATCATCCTACCAAATTTACTGTCTTCACCTGATGTAAAGAAAAAAGATGCCACTGTTTTACTTAGATGTAACATCTGAAGAGCAAAGACAAGTTTTTCATGTATTATTGAAAAATCTGATGGAATCTCCAAATGAGATGGAATATTAAAATATGTTTTTCATTTCATTTTTTTAGTAAATTAATGTATATAAATGTGGGTTCAGTTAAAATAAATCTCAGTTCTATGCATTTTCAATCAAAATTTTGAATCTTAAGATTAAGTATTGAAAAAAATTGTCTGAAACATTTCATAATTTGTATCTGACATGAATAATCACTATGGATTTAGACCAGCGGTCTAGATTAATATTCTGTTTTTCACATTTACAAACTCTTCGTTAAAAGGCTTCATATAAAACCATTTTATATGGTTTTAACAAGTCTCTTCCACGAGTTATTTTGTGAATTATTTAGTCGAAAAAAAGACTTGAAATTGTGAATATGACAATCAGTTATACACTTACAAAAGTAAAAGTTTTAAGAGCAATATTGTATATTTTTATCTATATAAAATAACTAAAATGTATCTAAAAATAATAAAATCACATTAAACTATACTTTTGTCTGTACTGCTAAGTGCCAAACAAAGAAAGAATGCTTAGTATACTGCTATGTTGATGGATTTATTTTTAGATAATGTGCACATCTAAAGATGTGTCTATGTGTAATTTGAGTTTTTCCTATACCTTGTTGTCCTGATAGTATCTGAAGATTTACTATTTCACTGTATTATGAAATTTTCAGTCATTGATGTGCACAAAGTAGCACAATTGGTTTTTTTCAGTATTAATAAATTTTAGGTAAATCTTTCCATAGCTTTTCTCTGTCCTTCCAAATGTTACTGCTTATGTATGCCATGCATAATTTTTTGTTTAAATTACGATTTATAATATCATTACTTATCAAACAAAATTGTGTGCAATAATCTATGGTAATAAAATAATCACCAAATATGAATAATGTCTTAATGTAAATTCTTCTTTCTGCTCCATGTAAAGGAAATGATTACCTATAGAATGGCATTATAACTATGTTAGATGAAGGCAGTCTATAATAAATTAGGATGTGTTCAGTCAGTAATTCATACATTTCTTATCCATTTCTGCCCCTAGCTATTTTGGCCTTTACCTGAACATAAAAAATAGCATTCCTTCAGTAACTTCGTAAGTTAAAACACTTCTGAAATGGACCGTATTTTTAACCTTGTATTACCAGTGTTATCAATGTAGTAGTATCTCAACTAAACCAAAACCCCATTTTAATAAGTAATGTTAAAAATATGTCTGAGGAGATTTGAAATAACCCTTGCTAACTATATTTTATGCTTAGAAAAAATACTGCCCAAGCCTAGGGTCTCTCTTTAATAAGTGTAAATGTCACAGAAGTCCTTGACCTTACTTGTTGAACATTCACTGAGAATTCTACAATTAGAATTGAAGAAGGATTCTGAAGATAAAGTTTTCTTTGTAATAAAATTAATTTACATTTAGATTATATTTGTCCTTTGCAGTTGTTAGATACTTCTCTGAATAACCATATCATAAGTGAGCATCACACTTAATTCCAAACATTTTAGAAAGTCTAACGCAGTCTTTTAAGAATTACCTAAAATATTCAGTGTTAACTATGTGATCTCCAAAAAGTCCAGATATAGTCAACATAATGATGCTTGAGTCAACAATAGTCAGCATGTAGGGTGCTGGCTGCACCATACAGCATAGTTGTGCAGCAGGCAAGACCACCGAGGGTTGAGTATATTCTGATATTCACACAATAAGGAGATCACCTAACATCACATTTCTCAGTAAGTATCTCTACTGTTAAGCAAATCATAACTATATTTCTCATCTCTGCTTGCCCTCAGTCCCATGGCTTCCATCACTATGAATGACTCCAACTTGCCCCCCATGACCAAGCCTGCCACACCCTGGCCCAGGCATGTTGGCCACCCAAAGGATTGAGTGATAGCTCTCATTGCTCTCTTAGTGTCTGCAGATGACTTTGCTTCCAGTTTTACTAAAAATAATTGAGAGTCTCATCCTATGTTTGTCTTTACCTTTATCTCCTCCATACCATTATCCCTGGTCTCTCTAGTTTACCTCTAGTATGTGAAAGAGATTCCCAAACTCTAAGGTTAACATACTTTTTCATTCTCATGCTGGGAGCTTCTATACTTCCTTTCTTCAGAGATTCTCCTCTGCGGACTTCACTGTGTACAGATCACCTTCCATCCTGGAAAAAAAATTCTTGTTCCTCCATCCATTTTTTTGTTAAATTACCACTTTGCCTACTTTCTCAGAAGTAGTTTTGATTTCCCAAAATCTAGTTTTGTTTTTTACCTTTCTATTATACTGTTTTACTGCAGCTCCCTTAACTCACTTATTGCCATGGGGATTTTCTATGGCCTACAACCCAACTGATTATTTCTTGCACCCTCAGTGATCTCTCTCTCTCTCTCTCTCTCTCTCTCTCTCTCTCTCTCTCTCTCTCTCTC